GCCGTGACAGACTCATTCACATCTTCCAAGCTGACAGGAATTATTCACTGCTGCAGACACTGGACGATCACTCAGCAGCCATCACAGCAGTCAAATTTACAGGTATACAGGCTGCATTGTCTGCACATTTTCAATTTAACTGGACAGTTATACCAAGAAAGTACCATTCTACACTTTTGTTTAGATAATTCCCCAAGTGACCTGTACTAGCCTTTCTTAGTTTTTATTCATAATCAGTTTGTATGCTACCGTAATTCCTGTTTCTTTCATTGGCGTCCTCACTGTTTTTTATGCTTGCAGATCACAATGGCCAGCTGCAGATGCTAAGTTGTGGGGCTGACAAGGCACTCATGTTCCGCTCACTACAGCAGGTAAATCTCTCTAGGCCATGGCTTGTAGCTTTGTAGAGTCCCCTCATAAATGCTCCAGGTGGAATGTGTTTACATGTTGGTGTTACAAAGACATGTCTTGTATTCTGTCTTGCAGGGGCCAACCAACACCAACACAGACATGCAGTTCATCAGAAACCACTACATTCTGGGCAAGTGCACATTCTATGACATGGATGTGGACATCACCAAGAAGTATGTGGCCACTGCTTGTCAGGATAGGAATGTCAGGTTTGGAAAAATTAATTATTTTGTTTCAGTTTAGCAAAAGCAACTTGGCTTGGTTAAGGCCCAGAAAATCTGCATCTTTTGTACAACCAGTCAATCAATGATTTATGACACCATATTTATTTTTCTATCCACAGAATTTTCAACACTAACAGTGGGAAACAAAAGAAGGGTTACAAAGGATCAGTAGGAGATGATGGCACATTGATAAAGGTGGATGAATGAACTGTGTTATACTTAGTCTTCGTGTAAAGCCCCACTCATTTAATTACTAAGTTCTTTCTTCCATTTGTGTGGATGCAAGATGAGTAAAAAAGAGTAGAAAGAAAAAAGGCATGAAATTTTGAAACCTTGCTATCAAACCTTAGGAAATATTCCATTCTTTATCATGTCTAAGAAGTAAAGTTCATGCATCAATTTCTGTTGAATTGAATTTTGACTAGCATAATCCAAGTTGTATATTAAATCTAAACACGCATGTGGAACCCCTTGCAGGTGCAGCTGGACCCATCAGGAATGTATGCAGTCACCAGCTGTTCAGACAAAAACCTGAGCATCTATGATTTCTACTCAGGAGAATGTGTGGCCACCATGTTTGGACACTCAGGTCAGCACCCTGCCACTTTGTACCTGCCTAAATCATAATGGAGCATCAGTATAAACAGCAGTTCCTGTATTGGGTGTTAGGTTACATATTCTTGTCAAACACGAGCTTTGAATAAGAAATGCATGGTGTGAATGTTGATATATTCATATCATTGTTGGCTTTCTAACCCATGTTTATCATCTGATTACAGAGCTGGTAACAGGTGTCAAGTTTACACCTGATCTGAAGAGATTGATATCCACATCAGGAGACGGGTGAGTTTTAAAAGATGTGTCTATTCTATATTCTGGGCAAAAGTAATATGCTTTTAGTTTCTTGAGTGATGGGGGTTTGTAAGTTCTGGGGCCAATTTTGTCTATAGCCAAGTCCATGTCCTCAATCTCTCCCCAGCTGCATTTTTGTGTGGAAGCTGTCCCCAGTCTTCACACAGACCATGAAGGATCGGCTGGCAGAGTTGGGACAGCAGCTGCCTACAGAGGTTCCCAAGATTAGACTCAGGTCAGACAAGTTTGCCTGGTTAAGACCATAACTTTTCATCCACTTTCCATCCTTAATGCAGAGATTCTGTTAAAGAACCCGAGGTTAACATATTAATTGTGAATAACAAGAAGGAATGCAGATTAAAAAAGAATGAAACCTTAATCATTTCTCAGAGTAATATGGTTTTCCCTACTGTTACTTTAGAAGAGACACCTTTGCAGTAACGGACAGCCCATGCAGACGAGAGACGTATGCTGTACTCCCAACCACTGGTCCACCTTCAGTACCAACTGCTAACGGACACACTAGTCCTCCTGACCTAAACATCACAGCCCCCCTCCTTCAGCAGGACCTTGGGCTGACTGAGTCTGATTTTGCTCCTGGCCGGCCTTCGCTCTTTCAGAAGTCACCAGAGCCTCACTTAAAGCCAGGTAAAAATGTACTAGTTCATGGGTGTGATTATGTCAGGTGTCAATTTCCATTGAATTTAAACATTCTATCCAGCTGACTTGAATAAAATGATTATGATAAAAAAGGGTGGTTCTAATATGTAAAATCTGTCTCTTTAACCTTACAGAGGCAGCCAATGTTGGCCCAGAGTTTGACTACCGCTTTAGTGTGCTTCCATCTTGGGCAAAAAAACAGGTATTGGGTTTTGTGATGTGACAGTGTGATCAATCAATCTGCTGCTTTCTACTCGTCATTTTTTTAGTGAATATAGTGTGTAGATTTAGAACGATGTGAGTGAGCTAGCTTGTCTGACCCTTCTCTTTTGTAACCTACATAATGTCAGTGCCAGATACTTACTGAAGGTTGTATTTTCAGGGGGTGGAAGAAGAAGTGAGTAAGAATGCACCAGACACATACAGCAGTCCGTCCCAGCCTCGAGGGCGCTGGGCACAACGTGTGGATGATGGAGGCATCAGGGTCAAGTCACAGCTGGACGCTGGGACCTCCATCTCTCTCTCCTTGTCTGATGCATTGGGTTAGTTTTTGTTTTGGGTTTTGTTGCTGTTTTGTCTTTACTGTTATGAAGCAGTTGGTTGTTTCTTTCTTCTTCAGGGTTAAAGTTGTTGCACCAGTGCTGCACATGTCAATATCTAATGCTTTGTGTGGGCATACCTACCATCCAACTGTTCACTCTCAAAGGGCAGAACTGGTACAAATGTGGTTAGCTATAAAGACTGCTTTGTTTTCCATATTTGTCCATTTCCCCTCATAGGAAATGCCTTCTCAATTGCTTTTGAACTCTCATTTTTCTACACAGTGCAGTATGATTTTTGTGTATGCAGACACCTCTAGCCTTCTTGTGACAAAATTGCGGCTTAATTTGCACAGATTTTATTGCCTGTGTCATAGTCAAAGCTTGTGCTGCAGTGTAAGTGAATGACTTAAGTATCTGCATGTTTTCCAGAGCGGCGCCGTCTGACTGTGGAGCCTGACTCCATGCGGGACACCCTTCAGGGGTTAGCTGCTGAAAGAGGAACAACTGTAAGTTCATGCTGTCTCTTAAAAACTTAAGATAGCGTACAATTCAAAAAAGTATTTCAGAATTTAAATACGTGTATGTCATAAAATGTAGTTCACCTTGGAAATTATAGTCTGTAACTTGTAACTGAACTAAGTGTTGTTTGTTTGTTGTTTAGACATAAACCTCATCTGCCCCATCATGCATGATGAAGTTGTTACTAGTATTTTGTCTGACAATGTTGTTTACAATTTATTAATCTTTTTCTTCCAGGGCGACTTGCTGGAATCTGTCCAAGAAGAGCTGTCATTTTCATTGGGGATGAGTCTTGACCAGTTTGAAAAAGAGTTACAAAGCAAGACACCAGCAAAGCAGGTACAGAAACTAGTTAGATGTCTTCATCATATTGATAATTAATGAGTGCTCATCACAAAATCTGTACATCCAATTGATAACATGAAGAAAGAGCATCTTTAAAAACAAATTATGTTAGACCCTCTTTTTTTTAGCTGAGAGGCCTGGTGGGTGTCATTCATGTAAAGTGTTTTTCCAAAGGACACAACATTAGACATGTTGGGATTGAATCTGGGACCTCTTTGTTCTCAGCCTCATGCAGTTCCACATTCAAAGCTGGTTCTGTGTTGATTCCATTGTTGTATTCCATGTTGATTTCTAATTGCCTATTGCTGTCCTTTTTCTTCAGCTATTGAGTCAGGTTGGTGCCAACAGGAACAGTGAGCCATTTGAGAGACCAACCCGCCTGACCTTGAACTTTGACCGTCAGACAAGTACAGAAGTTGGAATACAGATTGAGGACATTGAGGGAGATGCAGAGGCAGGAGAGGAAACAGGGAACATCATCTACCCTGCCCCCTCACATGACTCCATCATCACACCAGACAGGTCGGACAAAGTCACATTTACTCCTGGTCAATCCAACTGGTCTTAAGATGGCTTACCCCATTGGTTACTTTATTGTGTTCCTTTCTCTAAATTAAAACAAATGTGCTTGGTATTGTTGCAAAGTAATCCGTTTTTCCAGTAACAAGGTATATTGATTACCTTGCCATGAAGCAGTTGCACACGGTTGTTTTACTTAATTAATTCTTCACAGCATTCATTCATTCATAAAATCAAAGATTTGAAGGTATAAATCAATATATTCATTGTTGTGTATTGTGCACAGCACGTTTGTCAGAGATTCCTTGATCATCAGAAATTTTCACACATTTCTCATTCTTGGTTTGCTTGTAGTCCCTTCCTGGTAAAGGAGTACTTCCCCATGGGCATGAAGAAGAAGAAACTTGGCGGTGAAACCCTGAGGAAGGAGCTGGAAGATGCAGGAGCCGACACGGCAGAATCTCAGGAGGAAGGTGACGGTACCAAACCTCTCTCCAAACACAAACTAGCCAGACGTACGTACAGTCTTGCCTGCTGGGGTGTTGTGCAGTGCCACTGTGGTGATGTGGTGAAGTCACAAACTCTCATAACATCTCTTCACACCCATAAAAGAGACACCAGTTGT